CGAGTCATGACTTGCCGATGCCGATCGAGACTCGGGTGCCGCGCAGCTTTCTCTTCAAATTCAAGAAGTTGCCTACAGACAGGCAAGGCAATTCAACAGATCCAGCGCGTACGTGGACCCGGATCCAGGCACCATCTCCGCCGAGGGCACTCCAATCCTGAAGGTCTTCGCGCACGACTTTGAGCTCGAGCTCGAGTGGATCGTGGACGCATGGAGGGAATGGGAGGATCTTCAGGGCCACCCGTCTTTCACGGAGATCCAGCAGGCTTCGCAGGAGAGCCTGACGAATGCGAGGCAGCGCGTGTGCAAGGGGAACGGCCGCAATGCGGCCTGATGGGGCCAGCGGCGGACGCGGCAGAGCAATGCTTCACCTGGGAGGGATGGCGTAGCAGACTGCCAGTTTGAACGCTTCCACCATCCACGCCCGCACTGTCGAGGTCTCCGCATCGCCTCATGGAATGTGGAGGGCCGTACTAGCATCAAATTGTTTGATGCTAGTACGTGGGCTACCTGGTCATTATTTCTCATGCTTCTGTCAATCCCGAGTGGGTATTGGAATGGACGTTGCTCCTCGCATTCGTGCCGCACTCATTAGTTATCTCCGGCTGAGCAGCTGGCTATGTGGCCTCAACTTGCGCGATACGGAAAGGAAGACGGCTATCTGATGCGCTTACGCCCCCCAAGCGGGGAAACCGTTTGAGGAACGACGGGGATTCGACGATGATCTAGAGGCGGCCTACAACCGAACGTCGGTAAACGTGGCGAAGCTTGTCACATGGGTGATATCAACCAAGACTCCACCGACGATTTTCGGGAGAAGAGGACGTCATAGGAGAGTTCCCTTACAAGACAAACATGGACCGGCACGAGCTGAGCCAAAACCGCGAGCTGCTCGTCGAATTGCACCAAACATCCTTTGGTCATCACGAGTAAGTTCTTCGATCTGTCCCCAAAGAAGCAGGTTACATACAGGGGTCCCGGTGTCAAGTCTTTGGCGGATGTATCGCCCCGCAAATTCGGATTGCTCTTCTTCCTCTCAACCCCACAATATTTGCTGCCACGCGTTTCATCTATGGCGGGCTCCCGATACGAACCGTTGTCAACTCACCATTACCTCGTGAGGGCGGATGTGGAATTCGGCATTACGTTCCGCTAAAGCCGAAGCCCGCACACTGGAAGGGCAACGCTTGAAGGACCCAGCAGTAGCGAACCGGTTTGCCACGGCCTTCGAGGACAGCATGAGCCAGCAAATGGCGTGGTTGTCCACTCTCGCCCCCGCAGAAGATAGGGGCGCACTCCGCAAGCCCAAAAAAGGTTCTGTTCACAGCAAAGGCCGCCTCGCAGACGCAAGCGGCATATATGTCAGCTCTGAGGACAAGGCGGACACTTTTGCGCGGTATCTGGAATATGTACCATGGGCCGTGGGACCAGCAAGCCACGTGGACTGGCCGAACTTGTCCGAGGACCTGCAGGTGGAAAGTGCATTGATTCCGAAAGAGGAAATCAAGGATGGCATGTGCGCTCTCGGATGGCAAGGCTGTCGGTCCCGACGCGCTGCCTGTAGAGTTCTGGCAAATCATATTGCGAGAGGATGACGAGGGCGCATCGTGGCTGCTGGAACTATCACGTTGTCCTTTAGCTCCCTCCTGTGATCACACATCCCGTCGCCATCGACGGCCAAAACCTTCAGGGTCGGCGGCACCGGCCGTAAGGCCTTCACAATCATCTTCCGAGAGGATGGCGAGGGCGCTGCGTGGCTGCTGGGACTATGCAACTCCTGCTGGCGAGGGCGAGCTGTTCCAGGTTGTTGGCACCTCCACCGCGTCGCCTTGATACTTCAGAAGGGGACCCAGGGGATTGCGGTAAGTACAGACCACCCTGTTTGTTAAATTCGGCGAACAAGGTCTTTGCTATGGTACTTCTACGGAGGTTGATGGCCAGACCTGCCAGTCGCAGTTTTGGGCTCCGCCCAATGCGAGGCACAGAGGACGCCCTCCAATGCGCCAGTAGGGGCGTGGAGGAGCCCATCGCAGCGGAGCTGTCCACATAGTGGTCCTTGATTGGAAAAAGGCGTTTGGCTCCATCAGCGTCGAGGGTCTGCTGCTGGCTTTGCGAAGATTTAGTGTCCCTGCTTCTTCTCTGATGTTATTTAACGAATATGCTCAGAGAGAACGCTTTTCATGCTCAGAGAGAATGCCTCCTGCTTACGCCCTCCCCTCGTCATCCGCCCCTGCCTCCTTCTGCTCCTTGTCAATGAAACTGTCGCACCAACAGACGTGATCGTAGGCCGGCCTGGGCGTTAGGCTGCAGACATCCTTGCAGTCTACTATGCTGAGGATTAAACATTCCGACGTTTACGCGAGTAGAGGCGTGCTCCTTTTCGACATGGAGCTCTTGCCTATGCGCCGCGCACGTTCGTCTTAAAAGCATTGGCCAATTTCACGGATGGAGACTGGCTGATGTTCAAAGTGTGACTCTGGCCTGAGAGTTCCCCACCAAGTATTGCCACACGTGGGACACCCACACGGACTGAGGGCGGATCCTGTTCGAACTGGGGCTGTCGCGTGAGCCTCCCTTCCACGTCGGCCGGAAGAAGTAGGTTACAAGATGAAGTAGGAAGACGCAAGAACAAAACTGGGCTCCCGCACGCCCACTGAAAAGGACGGAAAAAGTAAGGCCGATCACATTGAAGGAGGACGGCGCCTAAAACAGATTGGGATCCGAGGACCCCAGCATGCTCACTTTCAACGACCGGCGAGTAAGTGCAAGAACCAGTCATGTTACCACGTGTTCAGTCGACACCAAGTCTTGGGCCGGGCGTGTCCCCCTGGACGACCAATGACAAATAGTAAAAAAAATGATCGAAGCATTGTTACAGAAAGGATCAAAGAATTGCCCCCAGCCGATGTTTGGACCATGTTTGAATTGTCCCCCTGTGGATGTGATGAGCCTGTTTTCCACCACCACCACCATAAGTTGGAGGGGGAAGGGAGGAAGAGGGCGAGGAGGGGGAAGAAGAGGAGGAGGAGGAGGAGGACCACCCCCTCCAACTTATGGTGGTGGTGGTGGAAAACACGCCCATCATGGATGGATTTACCTTTGCACCAGTGCGGGGGGGGGGGGGGGGTCCTGTCCAAATGGGGGGGGCTCTCGCTGGACACCTCCGTCAGAAGCCGTGCGCCAGCCTCTGGCACGGCGCCACGGGCAGAGCACGCGCGCCTGCAGATCGAACGCCACGCGCGCGTGCCGCAGGGCTCGCCGGGAGGGGGTCAAGGCGACTCCTTCTCAGAAGAGGGTTCTTCCCTTGACTGGCAGGCCTAACAGGTCCTCGTCCTCCAGGGAAGGCGCTTGTCGAGGAAAGGAAGTTTGTAGGGGCTGGTGACGGGAGTCGGGACGGCAAGGTGTGTTGCAGCAGCGTTGATGCATCTTGGGTTTACTCTTGTCCTTATCTTCTCGCTCCTCCTCCGACTCCTCCGCCTCCTCCGCCTCGTCCTCCTCCTCCTTCTTCTCCTCCTGCGCCTCCTGCGCCTCCTCCTCCTCCTCCTCCTCCTTCTCCTCCTCCTCCTCCTCCTCGTCCTCCTCCTCCTCCTCCTCCCCTCCTCCTCCTCCTCCCCCTCCTCCACATCCTCCCCCTCCTCCTCCTCCTCCTCCTCCTCCTCCTCCTCCGTCTCTTCCTCCTTTCCTTTTCCTTCCAAAAAAAACTTCTCCCTGTCGCTCCCCGAGGCCTGTTTTTGGGGCCAGCCGGGCGTTTCGCCTGAGACTTCCTCGCCATGTATGACCCTGAAGCTTAAAACATGGCAAGAGCTTCACAGATTGAGGGCGGGTGGTTTTCAAAATGTGGCTCTCTCCTTAGTGCCGCGCACATTCGTCTTCAGACTTTGCTGCAACTTCACGGATTGAGGGCGGTTGGTGTTCAAAATGTAGCTCTCGCCGTGTCGCCGCGCACATTTGTTTTACACATGTGCAGGAGTTTCACGGATTGAGGGCGGGTCGTTTTCGAAATGTGGCTCTCGCCTTAGCGCCGCGCACATTCGCTTTAAACATTTGCAAGAGTTTCACGGATTGAGGGTGGGTTGTTTTCAAAATGTGGCTCTCGCCCTAGCGCCGTCCGCATTTTTTACTTTTTTGCAAGAACTTCACGGGTTGAGACCGGTTCCTTTTCAACATGTGGCTCTCAACTTCGCGCCGCGCACATTCGTTTTGACCATTTGCAAGAATTTCACTGGTTCCCAGGATCAACGTGCCAGAAATGGTGTTTTGGAAAGATTCCGGATTACGCGGGTGCAGCAGTTATGTTGATTCGCGGTGTTGAAGTCCCCCAAAATGGCGTTCTGGCACGGTTCCAGATCGTCAAGACGCAGCAGCCAGGCTGATCCCTGGCGTGGACATCCCTAGAACAATGGTTTGGCATGCTTCAAGGTCTTCAAACGGTTGCCTTCCAACGAGGCAGTTCCCTCAACGGGAATGAACCGTCTAGGGGCCTGTGAAGAGGGAGCTTGGAGGAAGGTTGAATTCCAACATTGTTGATGACTCTTGGGTTTACTCTGGTCCTCCTCCTCCTCCTCCTCCTCCTCCTCCTCCGCCTCCTCCTTCTCCTACTCCTCCTCCTCCTCCTCCTCCTCCTCCTCCTCCTCCTCCTCCTCCCCGTGCTCCTGCTGCCATTTCCCTCCTCCGTCGGCGCTGCCGTCGCCAGGTCGTCCTTCCCATCGCTCTGGAGCCCCCTCCGTGCCCCTGGCCGCTCCCGCGAGCGGATCTCGGGCGCTCCCTCGATATCCGTGACCGTTGTGCAAGCGGACCGCTTAGGGGGCTGCGAGTGCAGAGGCGTTCCAGGGCATCGGCCGACTCGTGTGCACCTTGCAGGAGCCCTCGCGGCCGCACGGTCCAGGCGGCGGTGGCCCCTCGCGCGCGCCACCCGCAGAGCGCAGCAGATCACCACGGCAAGGCTGCGCCGCATGGCCACAGCAGGGCCGTGTAGTGCAAACGCGAGGGGGTGGGGCGAGTCAGACGGCCCTCGGCTCGGCCACCATAGCGGAGGCGCAGGCACCGATCCTGGGCATGGCCATGGCGGCCACCGGTTCCCACTCGCCCGACTCGGGGCTGAAGCACTCGACGGAGCGCTGGATGTTCTGGGGGCCCCGCTCGTCCCACGAGGTGGCCCCGCCGCAGATGTAGATTCGCCCGCAGCTTGCCACGCCAGTGTGGTGGACCCTCGGCATCAGCATGGGCTCGATGGTTGGGGGAAAGAACGGCATCGATACATCCACTCCCTGGGCCTCTCCCGGGCTGCGTTCTGACCAGAACCTCGAGGAGGGTCCTGCCGTGGCGACGAGGGCTCTGCGGGACGAGCAGCGGCATCGGCATGCTCTTCTCTCCCCCGGGATGGGGGACCACGTCCCCAGACGCACGTCGAATCTCTCCACGCTGCCCAGGGCCTGAAACTCTGGCAGCGTCGCGCCGCCGCACACGTAGACGCAGGAGCGGAGGGCCGCGGCGACGTGCGCGTGGCGCGGGGTGGCCATCGGCGCCAGCGCCCGCCAGAGCCCCGTGGCAGGATCGAGCGCCTCCGCCGAGGCGAAGGCCGCCGTGTACGCTGCGCTGCGCCCGCCGCACACGAAGAGCCCGTCGGCCGTGCCCGTGGCCGCGAGGAAGCTCCTGGGCACGGACATGCCCGGCGCGTACTCCCAAGCCTTCGGGGAGCTTCTGACCCCGGTCAGTCCAGACCCAGGCCGGTCAGGCCTTGCAGAATCCTGCCTGCAAGCTCCTGCAGGATCCTGCAAGATCGGGCGCTCTTGACTACCTACCAGACCACCCCAACCCAACCCGAAGACCCGAATTTCGGGTTGGGGGGGGTAAGGGTTCCACGCGTGTTTTTTCGATGTTCCCCGACCCCCCCCCACTGGAAATCGACAGTAAATTTGGGCCTTCGGGTTGGGTTGGGGTGGTTTGGTGGATGGTGAGCTCTGGCACTGACCCGCGTCTCTCGAGCCCCGACGCCTGGCCCTCCGGGAGGCCCCGGGGACTCAGCCGCTCGACGCTGCTGAGCACCTGGCCGTCGTGCTCCCCGCCGCACACGTAGAGGTGCTGCCCGACGACGGCTGCTGCAGCGCACGATCGCGGAGCGAGCATCTTGGGCCCTTGCTTTAGGTCGGGCATGTCCCCCTACAGGCGGATGTTGGACGAAACACAAAACATAATCAGAGCATATGTAAAACATGTTCCAAAGTGGGACAAACTCGTCCCCGGCCTTTTTTTACAATTCTTTTTGCATGCTCCTCCTGCAGAGGGAGAGGCCCGACTTAAGCCTTGCTCCCACTTCCGGCACGCCGGGCTGAAGTGGCTCACGCTCGCCGAGCACTCGTTGTAGCCGCCCCCGCACACAAAGAGGCGACCGCCCAGGCAGCCCGCGGCGGCGCAGGACCTCTGCAAGGGCATCGGCGGGAGCGCTGTCCAATCGCCCGTCGCCGTCGAGAAACGCTCGGCCGACCTCGCAGTGGACTGCCGCTCCAGCCCGCCCCCGCACACGTAGAGCCGGGCTGCCCGGACCGCGTCCACGTCGGAGTGGTAGCCCCTCGAGGCGGCTCGCAGCGCGAGGAGGCACGTGCGCCCGCCGAGCTCGGCGACGCGGGAAATGTGCCTGCCGGGCAGCGCATCCGCTGCGGTCGCGCCCGCGATGTACCCGGACCGCTCGCGCACCGCGGCAAACCTCTCTCGGTGGAGGCGGGTCAGCGGCAGCTCGGCGCACATCACTCCGCACTCCTGCAGGCACAGCCGGATCGTCCGCACCTCGTCGCAGAGATGGACTACACGCAAGAGTGACCTTGGGCAAGCGGGACCTTTGGTGCGCGGCTTTTGGGGAGCCGCGGGGGACCACACACAAGCGCGCAAGATGCTACTATCGCGTCGCGTTCGGCGATTGGGGGACCCCATTGGGCCCGCACCAAAAGCCACTCCGGCGAAAGGTCACTCCTTCGTCTTTCGCTACTATCGTATCGCGTTCGGCGATCGGGGAACCCCACTGGGTCCGCACCAAAGGTCACTCCAGCGGAGGGGCACTCTTACTCGGTGGCGGCCAAAGAGGGGGTCGTCCAAGAGGGGGGGCGCAAATCATGGCGGGTGGCACGTGCGCGGCCCAGGGGTGAGGGCCGGGGACGTCTTGAAATAAGAAGTGGCGCCATGAAATCTGGGGAGAGATCATGGCCTCCGCCATGATACCCACCCACCCCTGGTCATCCCCCCCCTCTTGGCCGCCCCCGATCTTACGTGTAGTCGCACCGGGGATCTACTGACCGGGTCAATCCAGACCCGGGTCAGTTAGGCATTGCAGAGTCCTGCAAGATCCTGCACCCGAATCTGGGTCAACGCGAAGCATCCTGCAAGATCCTGCAGAATCCTGCACCCAAGCCCGGGTCAATGCGACCCTGGCCCTGCAGGATCCTGCAAGCTCGGGCGCTCTGGCTGACCCCCCGTCTGCCTCGACCCCCCGTCTCTGTCGGCTCCCCGATCGCACCTCGTCGCAGAGGTCCCGGTGAGCGAGCGCCAGCCGGCGCAGCGCCGTCTGCTGCACGGCCGACGTGGGGTCGGCACCCCACGCCACGTGCGGCGCCCCGCTCTCGGGAGGCTGCGCAGGCTGTCGGGCCGAGTCGGGGTCACTGGATGCTGGGCAGTGCCAGGCTGGGTCACCACTGATTGGCATGAGGTCGGGCCTGTCCCCCTACAAGGGGTTCTGGACGACCATAGTTGAACAAAATGCCAACAACATACTCCAAGGTGGTTAAAAAAAAAATCATCAAGCAATCGTCCCCGCCTTATTTTCTGACTATTTTTGAAAATTCACCCTGTAGAGGGACAGGCCCGACTTAAGATTGGCACGCCCGAACTGGTCGGCTACAATGGGGGCTCGACCACAAGAAACCTTCGACGAGAAGCCCAACCCTGAGACCCCAGGACGTCCACTGACTTTTGGTGTGGGAGCGCCACGCTTTGCATAGCAGAACCATCGAAACCCAAGAAACCCAGGGCACCCTGGTGGCGAGCAGGGTGTTTCTTGGCGTGGGCTTCCCCACTGTGCTCGCAAGAGTGCCCCTGGGCAAGAGTGACCTCTTCGTGCGCGGCTTTTTTTGTTTGGGGGGGGCGGCCCTTCGGGGACACCCTCGGGCGCGCAAGCTGCTGCTATCGCATCGCATTCAGCGATCGCGGGGAGGGGGGGGGCCTGGTGTGCCCGAACCACAGGTTACTCCGGCTGAAGGTCCTTCTTACTTGGCGGCGCGCACAAAGGGGGTAGGGGGAGGGGGGAATGCTTCGTAGAAGGAGACTGCTTCTTCGAAGGCGCCCAACCTTCCATCTAAAGATCAGGCCCGCGCCCTCTGAGAAGCAGGGGTGCTTTTGAGAAGCCTCCCCCCATCCCATTGACCCCCCTGTGCGCGTGGCTGACTCACACTGGGTGCAGTCGGCCTTGACTGGAGAGGGCACGCGACGGGACACGGGACCCTTCCGAGGGCCACGTTGACACATGAAATGCGAGAGGCGCGGGTCGCGGGGCTCGGGACACAGGGGTGCCCTTGATCTGGCAGGGTCGACCCACTCATCGGGGCCGACTGAACGGGAGAGGTGGGGACGGTGCCCAGCAGCAAGCGTTGTCCCAGACTGGCAGCATCCGCCGTTGGGCAGGCGACCTTTGGACTCGAATGGGCGACGTCCGTGGCGGAGCCGATCGCGAGTTCTGCTCTGTCCCCACTCCTTCCGTACCTTTGTGTTAGTTCCGAACTGAGGGAGGGTGCAACCTCCCCCAGGACACGGACCCTCCAGAACGCCGCAGGACCCCTAAGGAGTGGCAGAAACGCTCAGAACCTCGTCCATGATCGACCAACCTTCCTCCTCGATCCTCGGGCAGGTCCTGGACCAATTCGGCTTCACCGATGATGACCTCCCTTGAGTGAAGGCTCGGGGCGAGGCTTTGTCTGGTCTTGTGGCCCCCCTTGAGGGAGGAGTCAGATTCAGACACGCCTGATTTCGTCTGACCACCCTGGCTGTAGGCTTAGGTCGGGCATGTCCCCCTACAGGCAGTTTTTGGACGAAAACCAACCGCACCCCAACCATATTCAAAAATGATACAAAAAATCGAAACTCGCCCCCCTCCCCCCCCCCAGACTATTTTTTGTCTATTTTTGAACTTCCCCCCCGTAGAGGGACAGGCCCGACTGAACTTCAGGCCCGTTCCCGACAACCTCCTCCTCCTCGATCCTCGACCTCCCCAGCTGGTGACCCCCGCGGCTCTGCCCGAGGATGGCCAGCCCCACGCCTCCTCGACGTCCCGCAGCTCCATCGCCGGGAGGGGCGCCCAGGGCCCCGCCGCACCCCGGACGTCCCGCAGCTCGGCTCGCAGCTCCATGGCCGCAGCGGGGCCGCCGGAGGTGCCCAGCATCAGGTCCGGCATGTCCCCCTGCAGGCGGACTCTGGACGAAAAATCGCATATATATATATATATATATATATATATTAAAAAAAAGGCTGAAGGCAAAAATGCGACTCGAAAATTCTCAATGATCAGCCCCAGGCTATGTTTGTGATTATGTTCTGGCATTCCCCCTGTAGAGGGACAGGCCCGACTTAAGCCTGGCACGCGTGGGGCGCGGCGGCACTCTCGGAGCCCAGAGCTGCAGGCCCGCCGGATTGCTCCGTGCGTCAGCGCGGCGCCGACTCGGGCCGCCGGGCAAGAGGAGCCGGGGCTGCGTTCCTCCCCCGTCCTCCGGAAGGCAGTCAGCTTGCTCCCGAGTTCGGCCAAACCCGCTCAATGTGGATTCTGGACCTCTCGCAGACGTCGAACCGCGGCTGGCGGAGACGACGAAGCCCCACCAGCGACCACAGCGAGGAACACCTTAGCGCAGCGACTCGCGGGGCTACAAAACAGCCAGAAACCCAGATATAACGGCGCGCCTCGCAGTGGTGTCCGACGAGCCTCCTGAGCATCGTCTGACCGATTCCCGTCCTCCCATGGCCTGGCCCTGGCCCCACTGGCCGACTCAAACACTTCATGAGTACGTCTTCTGACTCGGCGTTTCGGCATTGAGAGAAAGGGGTTGTAGGGGGGGGGGTCTGGCTCCCGACCTCTGCTTAGTGCGACTGTTTGAAACAGTGCGCTTCCGGGGGGATCCTGCGGGGGAATCTGAATGCAATTCGAATCCATGTGGAATACGATTGGAATCCCCAGGACTTGCTTTTCCAGAGC